TGAAAGGAGAAGAAAATCGGGTGGAAAATAGAAATAGCATTAATACCCAATGCTCGTCACTTTGAGCGCACAGGGGAAGATTTCTTTGGATTTAATAAAATTTCTTTAATCGAAACAAATTTATTTTTTGGAATAGAGCGAACAAACGAATGTTTGATTGAACAAATAAGATTCATTGGTTTCTCAAACAATAAATATTTTTACGTCAAGTAACACATTTCTTTCGTACTTTCATCCAAACGTTACAATGATTATCCCAAACAATAAGTTATTTGAAAGAAGTTATACTATGTCAGAAGAATATTAAAGACATTCCTTTGTGCGAGTAAATAGATTTAGTAAAGAAATTTCTTTATTGAAAACAAAATATATATTTCCTGTAAATAATATCGCTTTCTCCATCAAACAACATAATTTACTCTGGCGAAACATTTTTATTCAAACAAAATGATATTTGATATTAAATTACATCGTTTACATTGAACAAACTCAAATGAAACACGTACACTAAATCCAAAGAAACCTTCTTTCTGCACTTTTTGTAAACGTCAACCTTATTCATCTTTATCTCTCGTTATCTTAATCGTTATCTTTACTTTAATTTATTCTTCACTTTAATTTTGATACTTTCATTGCACGAAGATATTTAAAGCGTGGTAACAGCTATTGCCTCACTCTGCATTTGTTAAATAACGTGTACCTCACAGGAGCCCGCGCAGAGGAGTATTTCCCAATTACGTTTCGTTTTAGAGCCGAAATATCGAACGACCCGGAAAGTTCATCGTGGGCCACCGGCGGCGACCCACGCGGCGCGGGACGCGTTATTAATGTCGTCGTTTTACCGTTTCGGCCGTTCGTCGCTGCGCGAATAACGCGCCGGAATAATAGAATAACTCGAAAGTCGTTCCCGCACGTGGAATTTCAAATGGTGGTATCGGCTTTACAAACTCCACACGATGCGTAATCGCCGCTTGATCTCTCTCTTTCTCCCTCTCTTTCTCTCTCGCTCTCTATTTCTCTCGCTCGTTCGCTCGTCCGCTCGCTCATGGAGGAATGCGCTCCTCCATGATCGCGCAAGACTCGATATACGATCGACGTGAAAGCATTATATCGACGCTAATCCCGGATAATTCTTGAAGCGGTATTTCGCGCGGCTAGAAACGGGGTCGTTTCATTAGCGCAGCACAATGGCGGACGAGTACGCGCGCGCGTGCGGGTCGGATAAATGATGGGCAATAATGAAACATTAATGGCGCACAGTCAGTTTGAAACGACGACGATGTCGGCCGGCCGACTGTCCGACCGAGCGAACGAGAGCTAGCTGGCTAGCTATTCAATACTATATTTCCCCCGCCCCGCTCATTTCTGTCCTCGTCGAATTACCATTTTCGTATTAATTTGCCGTTACACAGTTATGTATTTCATATACGATTTCTGTGCGAACGGCGCCGAAGAATAGGGGAGCGCGTGGAAATATATATATATCTTAGCTTCGCTCGCTCGCTAGCGCGGTTAATAAATCGCGAAATTAAATTTATACATTCAACGCGAAGCCACTTTCCCCGGCCTGGATAAAAACGTATTCGACGTACCGGCGGAAAAATATATATAATTGAGATAGGAGCGCGAAATATTAGGCGAGTAATAGCGATTTTATCTTCGGAAGCGTGAATCGTTCATCGAGCAACTCTCTCTCTCTCTCTCTCTCTCTCTCTATATATATATATATATGTATGTATATATTATGTATGTATATTATGATGAGAATCCCAGAAATGAATATAATTCTTCGAGTCAATCACATGAGCAAGAAAAAAGATAGAGAAGGAATAGAATAAAAGCTTTACTTAAAAAGCGCTCTAAAATGTCCCCTCAAATGCCGAAAAATACAATAAACGAGTAATAATGAAAGTATACAATAAAAAAAAAATATATACATATATATAACGGACACGCTTGCAAATAGAAACTGCCACTTCAGTTCCAACTACTGCACACAGTGGACAAAATTCATGTTCTGTCCGACCGAATTCAATATTTTACCGCCGAGAAACGTGTAGGTACGTCAGTTTACCATACCGATGTCAGTTTTCGCGCTTTCCTCTGTATCTTTATGCGCTTCCTCCGAACTTTTCCCGAGAAGAAAGAGACAATTTTTCTTTTTCCAATAGAACAAATTAGCCCTGTGATTTCATTAAATTCACGACGGCATATCGCGAAGGTTAAACGTCACTTCAACGCGCAAAACTTCCGATTTCACCTCGCGCCATCCACGTCTCATTCTACAGCACGAACCCTCCACCCTTTTATCTTTACCTATTACCCTTCACTTAATTACCTCTCATTTACAAATGTTCCCCCTTTTCACTCATTTATATATCTTCATTTCTATTCTCCGTTCTTTCTTACATCTCCACTTCCTTCCTTCCTGTTGTCACTCGACACACATCTTCCCCTTTTTCCTCATACATATTATATTTTTAACACATCGTACGTTGTACATATTTCACCCTTTGCAAGACGTCTATACTCCCCTTCGATAAGGCGCCCATATGCATTGAGCATCAGCATAATAAACCGTAATAACCGTAATAAACTAGTTTCGCATTCCGAGCTCCGTCCGAGTTACGACGTTAAGACACGAGGCCTGGTGATTACCGGGCCGACGCGCTCGTTACGTCATCAGCGGCCACGTGCGATCAAAGCGCGGATACTCCACTGACCCGGTCTACAAGGGCGCGCTCTCGTAACGCTTTTAAACCGCCGCTTGAAAAATAAAACTCTTCTCTTCCACCGGGGGTCCCAGTTGGCGCATATTTCCTGTCCCCCGTCTCCCTCCTCCCCCATGCCCTGCTTGCCCCTTTGGAGTTCGCGAAGAGTAAACGCCGGTATCTTCCATCGTGCGAGGGCGGCCGGTTGTAACGCCAGCGGAAACGGCCGTGTTCGGCCGCGGCACGCGAAGCGGAACGATTGTGTGTTTGGATTGTCGAACAGTTAAGCCGTAAAAGCCGGTTCAACATCGAAAATGAATTTCCCAAAGCGTATCGCATATTTTCCACGGCACTTTTGCAGCTCAATGACGCGTATCGTGCGGCGCACTGCGCGGCGTTGCGATCGCGGGGCTCAATTCGCTAATACCGACGTGACCGCAGACGGCTCTATCGGACCTGATGTCGGGCGGTTTCGCGAATCGACCGATATCGGCGGCCGGAGAAATCCAAAGCAAGATACACGCCGGCTCAAATGCGACGCTTAATTTGCCGCCCTCCTCCGCTCCACCGTCGACGACGAGTTTCACTAATAATCGGGTTTGTTTGCTCGTTTTTCGGCTTATTTATCTTTTCATCCCTCAACTTTTTAGGTTTCTCCTCCCCCCTTTTTTTCCGTCGTGGGTAAAGACGGATGATCTCTTTCGTTTCTGCACCCGGAGAAATAATTTAAGCGATGACAGCTAAATCTCATTAGCTGGTCCGAACTTTACTGTCATTGCTGAAAGTTGGCTATCAGAGGCAAAATGCGTTTACTGCGAGGCGCAACTTTATTAGCTGGACCAGAAGTCTCAGATTCGAGTCCATCAGTGCTTGTGCGTGTTTTTCGGACACGATACAGCATTAAATCAATTAAATGAAATGAATGAGATTCCGGATAAAGTCGAGACGCACTAACGACTCAGGACAGTTTAAAAAACAAAAAAGAAAAGAAAGCAATAAATTCGTAATCGAGAAAATGAATATGATTTTAGTTACTATTGCGCGACTGGTGTTTACACTGTGACGCTGAAATTTAAACGGCTGATAAATTTACTTGCGACAGCAACGACACCAGCTGTCCCTATTTCAAAGGCACATTTTAGCTGTCACAGCTAGATTTCAGCTCCTGTGACTGATTCTTTCCCCGCGTGTGGCCCCTGTCGAGCGGAGATTTCGCGTCGGATGATTCGTATCGCGCGACAGAGGGAGGAGGCGCGGATTAACAAGGGGAAGATAATCAATTACGGCCCTAAATCAATTTAACTGCGCGATGCTCACGAGCCGGCGGATATCAATGCCGATTCGATGGCGTAATTGGCAAATTCGTTTAAAAGATCGGGGGATATCGGCAAATACATCATAATCTTATCGGCNGAGCGCAATTTACGACTTGCTGTAACACGGGGGGGGGGGGGGCGGCGGCAAGGACGAGCGGATCTTTAACGATCCGTGTATATCGGAATACAAGGAAGAGAGAAGCGTTGAAACGCGCTTTTCCCGCCTCCCTCTCCCTCGTAAAGCTCCGTGGAGCGAGCTTTTCTTCGCAACCGCGATGCGACGCGCAACGTTTACGACGGACGGTGTTGGAAACGAGAATAAAAAAGTCCCAAAAAAATGATCGCGACTCGGCCGACGAGTGCGAAGAAGAATGCAGGCTCCGCTTCCGGAGGAACAACGGGAACAAATGGGGAGGGACGGAGGGAGAGGGGGAGGAAGCGTTACGCATCTCCGAGCGAGACGAAATTTCGCGTTCGCGCGGACGCGTAGTTCGTCAAAACGACACGTCCGCCGATTCGTCGCGCGCGCGTTCTCTCGTCCACCCTCGTCCACCCCCCTCCCCATCGCGCGTTCCGGCGTTCGCCCCGGCTAAAGTCGCCCGTGCCGATTTGATTTATCCCCCGTTCTTCTTTTTTATCTATAATTCTATCGGAGCTCTCGCATCGCCGATCTTTATTGCCGCTAACGCGCGAGCGCCTCCCCCCTCTCTCGGCCTCTCGCCTTCGCGCTTGCCTCCGCGCTCAGCCCCGTCTAAATCGAGAGCTTCCGGAAAAAGCAAACACGGAGATCCATACCGCGGCAACGTTAAATCTCCCCGACGACCGAAGGCGAAAAATATCGAGAGGTAGAGAGAGAGAGAGAGAGAGAGAGCGAGCTATAACGTGAGGCAGGTAGATGGAAAGCGAGGGTCGAGAGGCTCCGAAACGTATATACGCAGCAACGCCGAGGCGCTCATTGCGGATACGCACTCACCATTAGCATTGATTCCCACGCCATCCATCGGATCGGTAACGGCGGGCGCCCCTCGACGCGGAAGTAATCCGCCGCGTATGCACTCCGTCCGCTGCCCAAATCGGATATCTTGGCGGTGCATCCGCGGCTCACTATGCAATTTCTGGAAAAAAGAGCAGAAAAAACGTCCGGAAATGTTGCGTCCCTTGGTCTCTCAACAGATTTTTTTTCTCACCGGGTGGGGGTGACCGTTGGGGACCGATACGAAGGGGAAGCGGGGCGGCCGGTTTTCGGAGGTTACTTTTTTTTGGGGGGGGGGAGGTTTCCCGTTCATGGCTGTTTCCGTGCCGCAGACTTCGGAAAGCGAAAACAATAGAACTGTTGTTCTATTTTTTTTTTCTGACGAAATTAACACTCCCATTCTTTTTATTAACGCCGGCCATGAGCTCTCTGCTAACTGTAGAGCTGCAATATTCTATCGGCACTCGTGTATCCAATGTCTATATGTATATACATATATATATATGTATGTATATTGTGTCTATGTATTACATACGCACGTACGCGCGCACGGCTAAATGAATGTGTGTATGTCGCGTGCGCTCTATTTTTTATAGTCGGCAGCCGTATCAAAAGCAAACAAAAGAGCCTGTCGAAACATCACACGGGGCATAACTAAACGCTAGTTTTCCGATAAAGCATTTCCCTCTCGCCTGGAGAGCTTCGGTTGAGCCTTCCTGTAGAGTCAATATTTATTCATAATTATAATCCGCACCAAGAGAGAGAGAGAGAGAGAGAGAGAGAGAGAAAGAGAGAGAAAGAGAGAGATTAATCGGCGAAATAAGTTATTAAAACTTTCTGCAATTCTCAGGCGAAATAATCATAAAAAAAGTAACCGTCGTGTCGTCAAACGTGCAGTATGTACGGTGCTCGAGTTTGCAAATTCCGTGAATGTTAAATCCACGGGAAATCTTACAGACGTAAACGAGTGATAATTCGATAGGATACTTTCGCTCACCAACGTGGAAATTAACTTCTCGAAAGATCTCGCAGAAATAAATAAATGCTTGACGATTTAAAATGATATTCGCGTTTGCGAATCCCGGGCAAGTTAAATTTCAGAAAAAGCTTGCGAAAGTGAAGAAATAAGCGACCGTCTGATATGATACTCGTGTTTGCGGAAATTTCGTGAAAATTCAGCCCCCGAGAAATGCCGCGGAAATAAAACGAATTAGTGATAATCCGAGCAATTCCGACGTTATCCCGTGAAAGTAGCCAATGACACGGACGATGGTGTTTTTAACAGAGCCGCAAAATACCGCGACGCCGGGAAGTAGTCGCGTCTTCGCATCCGGCTCGTCCTCTACCGAGATCTTCTCGCGCGTTTCGCCCAGCTACCTCACGGTTTCAGGATCGTCGACGGAAGCTTGTCGGAAGCATCGACGGTGGTCGTTCGAAGTTTCGCGCTGATTTGCGCGCAAACCTCGCCGTTTATCGCTTGCGGGTCGGAGTGCGCGCACGAAAGAGAGAGAGAGAGAGAGAGAACGGAAGGATGGTTTAGTAGCTGCCACGACGCTTTTATTTTACGCGCGCACACCGGAGGGTAGGGGGGAGGAACTCTCCCACACCCCCGGTTGTTGTCAACGTCTGTGCGCGCCCCGCCAGATTCGCCGGCAACTTTTTCCACTTCCGTCAACCGTAAAAACCTTGCCCGTCGGCCTCTCCTTTTTTCCTCTCTTTTCGCCCCGCCGCCGTCCTTCTCCCTCCCTCCCTCCGTCACTTTTTGTTCCCACGGCCATTCAAATGCGACTGCGCTTTTACGATTTTCAGCAGCCGCGTTTCGACGAAACGCTCGCTCGCGCGATGCGAGCGATTCCGCGTCGTCGACGGATCAGAGGGGAAATCCGCTGAAGCGGCCCGGCGTTCCGATCGCGCGAAGAAACAATTAACGAGAAGTATCGCTCGCTCCCCGCCGCCGGGGGGAAGCCGTTCGAGCAAAAAGCGACGCCGCGGTAACTCGGGAATCACCAGCGACGATCCATCCAATTCGCGAGCGGAAGGTATCCCCGTCGTTCCGCTACGGCCACGTTGCTCGGCCTCGTTTGCTCCGTCTGCGTCTTGATCCCGAATACTGAGACGCTCTTCTGCCCGTACGAAGATACAATTGTACAGGGTGTCCCGGGCAGAAATTTCAAACGGGCATCAGGGAAAGGCCCCGCATAATTTTCCCTCGTTCATCGCTGTATACGCAGACCCACGATGAAATATATCAAAGAATTTTACGAAACTGCATTTCTGCAGTCATCGTTCGCGCTGATTTCACATAAATCTGCCGATAAATTTGCCGAGGAGGGATTTCCGGAGATTATTGAACAGTGAAATTTTCTCGCACTCCAGAGCGAATCTGATGCTACTCGACTACGCCCGACGTTGGTTTTAGCGTCCCGCGAATTTGCGTCTTAATGAAAAACATCCGGTTCATCATTCCTCGTCGCGATTGCGTCGTTCGCTCCGTTCTCGCCTCGATCTCCTCGAATCCCCGATCATCGAGCGCGTGTTGTCCCGATGGGATCGTCTGGCACACTCGCGCACCGGCCCGACCGCCCCTACAAATCACCAATGAATCTCGCCCCTTTCGTCTAGCCTCTCCTTACCCGCGCTGCCGCCATTACGACAACGATCGTGCCGAAGGGCATGATAATTAAGGTTTACGATTAGAGTTAATAATTCCAACACGTGACCCCGGCAGCCCCTCCGGCTTCCCTCCTGCNTTTCCCCCCCCCCCCCGCCTGCGGCGTTCACCTCGCTTTTAATAGCCACGCGATATTGGTTGTCGTGCCGCGCTGCCGGCGTTGTCGGAGGGTCGCGGAGAGAAGAGGAGGAGGGAGGCTCAAGAGTTTCCAAATGCGGTCGCGCCGTATGGAGCTCTGGCAGAGGGGTAGTGAGTCCAGCGGGTGTGTTGTATATTCCGTTATATATACGATGTGTATATAAATACAGGGCGGCCCGGTAATCGCGGTGCAACCAGGAACGGGATGATTTCTTCGGGAAGGAAAGTAAATTTAAGTAAATGAAATGTGGGATAAATGCTTTCCATAAGAGGTTTCTCGAGAAAGTCGATTTTAGAAGTTAAAGTACACGTGCACTCAATCCAAGTCGAGATTTTATATTGAGTCTGCTTGGTTTTACATTAAGTTTATGAGCGGAGGAAACAGAAATAACTTTCCATTTGTAGGATCAAAGGAGCACAATAGGAGATCTAGTGAAGACTTAATGCAGAACCAAGTTAACTCAATGTAGAACTGACACTTCGTCTCGTGAACTAACACGCTGTCGAACAGATTTATATAGAGATTATATGTGTTTAGAAACAACATCAAAGTCATGTAAAATAAGGTCAGTTAATGTGTTGCAAATTTATATCTCGGAAACGAAGCACTTTAGGGAAAAATGTTTCATACGAAAGTTTTGTGACTTCAAGGGAGACATAAGATGGCGTCATTGCTTTAACTTTGAATAATCGTTTGAAGATCGCATGAAAGTCACCTTGAATTCCTTAACCAGTTAACTGTTTTTGACGAGTACACTCGTCATGAAAAAAGTACAAAATTTTAACCTTAAATTGCCGTACCTTAAATTGCCGCCAAAATTTTGTACTTTTTTCATGACGAGTATACTCGTCAAAAACAGTTAACTGGTTAAATGGAAATCCCAATTGTTCATTCCTGCAGCTTACTTCGAGAACTTTTCAAAACACTATAATAAAGTTTGTTTGTTTTTTTCATTAAGTACCTTTCGAGTTATCAGAGTAGGAAATAAAAGATCTCGAATAGTATTCACTTTTCGATGATCTCACCTTAATACCTTTAGATGCAGAGCGAACAGAGGAATTTATTTATGTTAAAAAGACTATACGATTCCGTTAAAAAAAATAAAGTCGATCTTGAAGTGACCTTGAATTAATTGTACGACTATACGACGAAGTCATCATCTTATGTCCCGCTCGAAACTGCGAAACTTTTGTACGAAACAATTTTCAATGAAAACCTTGATTTTCGAGAAGTCTCAGTGCGTCATTTAAAATGGCCCATCCTCTATATGTATATATGTATATGTGCATAGATATACATATATATATATATATATATATGTATAGGACATACTCGAAGGGGAGCGAGACGATAAAACAATCGACCGCTGTAATAAAGCAATCCTCTAACGTAATGCCCGGAGGCGCGCTTTCGTACGCTCGCAGAAAGACCGGATGGAGTATGCGGCGCAGTCTGTTTGTTTGCTCGACGCACGGAACGATTTCCGTCCTCGGGCGGCGGCGGCGGATCGGGAGATTAAAACGTTCTTCCCTCCTCTCGCCCGGAGACGAATTTAAGATCGCTGGAATTTAACGGGTCGTCGAACGGATGAGCGAACGAACGGACGCGTTATCTTTCCGCATCCGCGTGATGCGACCGCGCGCGCATGCTTGACTCGGTTCTTTTACGTCCACCCCGTGCGAGCGTTTGTCGCTCGCTGCGCGAGCGCAGGTCGCGATCTCGCGGAATTATCTTTTGAAGCGGAATTATGCCTTTCGTTGCGAGAAAGGAAGAAATTTATGTCGGGTTCGCGTCGAAAACACGAAACGTCGCGGGGTTGAAACAACCCTTCCAAAGCGATTCGATAAAATCGATCGCAAGCGGATGTCTTTGAAACTGTAAAATATATGAGAAAAACACGTATTAGAGAAAAATGTTACGGTATTTTCAACATAAGGTGAATGTCCCAATTAGTAACAGTGCCCAAATTTATGATAATCGCGTCTGTTCTCTTTAATGAATTAAATAATAAAGTTTTATATTTATCTTAAAAGTGTGTTTTTACTCGAAATTTTATATATTAATAATAATATATAAATATAACTTATAATTTTATATATCTGTTATAACAAGCTTCAAATAAAATTAAAAGTTATGATGAATGCCGGAGTATCATAATTATAAGCGTGCTGTTAGCGACAGATCGATTGATATTGGACGTTTTTCGGCTTCTCTTTGTAGCTATCGTTTAACCTGAAATACTAAAATTACACTAAAATTGTACTAACGGAGAACTTTCATCTAAAACCGTCCCTTCACATATTTCCCTATCAAAATTCAACCGAATTTTTTCCAGAAAGTTGTTCCAACCCCTGAATGCGTTTCAAAACTTAAACGAGCGAGAAAGAAAATACATAAAAAAGAACACATATCCCTTATTTCGAGGTGTTCTACAACATACCTGGACCGCCCAAAAATCAATATGATATACATTTATACACAGGATGTCCGACATTTTTCTTTCAATTGCTCGTGTGAAGGTAGAACGAGTTAAACCGAACAGAAGACTTTTGAACACCCTGTATATTTTTGTAAAAAATTCACTTCGCCGCGTGTTGAAGACGTCGAAAAATCATCTCTTTAAATTAACATCGAAGACAATCTCCTTTTTCGCGCTCATTGTAACGGAAAAGAGAAGCAGAAATCTTTTCGGATTCGTCGACGACGCGTTCTCTCTCTCTCTCTCTCTCCCCCGCGTATTTCTGTCACGACGGGAGGGGGAGAGCGACGACGGACGGTATCGGTCTGTGCTGCTTTCGGAACGGCAGACCAATAATGCGACAACAACAGCTGCTCATTAATGAGCGAGACCTCAAAGCAGCCTCGCGGGAAAGCGCGGGGTGTGCGCAGGGGGTGCGCGCGAGCTTACCTTGTGGCGAGGTCCCGATGCACGAAGTCCATTTCCTCAAGATACTTCATGCCGGATGCTATTTGCGTGGCCATGTAAACCAATGTGCCGAAACTGCAACACGAAGAACCGGGTCGGTTACGTCGCGAAGTTTACTCGCGGAAACTTGCCCGTGTATATATACATGGACGGCGGGGGGGAGGGGGAGAGCGCATTCGCCGCGGCGGCAACGCGCCACAAACGCCGGGCATTCTAACTCCAAGGGGTGTTCAGAGTGAGTGAGTGAGTGAAGGAGGGAGGGAAGGAGGAAGGGAGAGCTAGAAGAGAGCCGGGAGGAGAAAGAAAGAGGAAGAAGGACGCGAGACAGAGAGGAAGCAACATTTTTAACGCGAGCGGGTTAAAATGGAGGATATTCTCGTTGCTCGGTTTGGACCCGTCTATAAAGCGAAACTAACGGATCGAATCGAATCTGTCGAAGTCTTCTTCTTTGCGTGTGAAAGAAAGATAAAAAGAGAAAGAGATAGGTGTGTCACGTATCGCGCGCTCTGGGATATTATCTTTCTCAGGCGCTGATTGAAATACGAATTAACGTGAGTGTACGTATAATAACGGAGAAGGACGCTGTTAAAGAAGTTTCGCAAAGTAACCGTTTAAGTTGCAGCCCGAAAGAACGAAAGTGTACATTGCAACTCGAGTTACACGCTCACTCTGAGCAATCTCATCGAATTTTTGCAAGGGTTTCGTTGTTATGGAATAATAAGATTAATTCGATTCGAGATTCAGCTTACAGAAATACGTCCGAGGGACATTCATTCCAATATAAGGAGCTACATTAAATCGTTATGAAATATATTATGAAATATGGTGATAATTAACAGAATTAATATATGATAACAACATAAATTAAGTTGTTCAATCGTTAACATATGCGAGACCGACCATTCGCTGTGATGACTGAAAAAAACATCGACCTAAGAGATTTTCGAAGTTAAATAAAGGAAGAGGCAAGGAGCCGAAAACAAGGACTGGGCAAATCAAACTGGAGTTCGCGACTATTCCTAATTCGTCCTGCGATTTCTCATCCCTCGTGAATCACAACGACGACCAATCGACGATCGATGGCAGCTTTTCCGGCGAGTTGGCGCGCCTCCTCGCGCGGATTTACGACTACGGTACTCGGGAGAGAGCTTTCATATTAATTACGGTTAGTTTTCAATATTCTAGCCCGAATAACAGTGATTCATCATTCATACCGGTGAGAAGAAAAAATCCATTTTTCTCATCGAATTACAGAAAGTTGAAAAACGAGACACTCCGAATAATTAAAAAAAAAACACACACACACACACACACATTCGGGAGCGGGGAAATTCCCAACTCGCGCCGCGAGAAAGCGTCTTTTTATCCGGGCGAATTATTAGACTCCCTCTCGCTCGCTCGATCGCGCTTCCGGTAAATTGAATTTAAAAATCGGAGCGCGCGACAGGCGCGTACACGTTAGTTACGATCGGGCGTCCGCGCGTCCGCGTTTCTCGCGCGTTCGCCGCGCGGAGAAAGTAGGTACTGCCGTTTTTACTATTTACATTCCCGAGTACATGCCTGGCGGACCCGTTTGCCCCGGAACGACCGCGACCTGCCTGCTATTTCCGCGGCAGATACACCGATATAGAGTCGTTCCGATGGCCGGGTGTGTCGTTTCTCCGGGCTTAACGTCGTTACGACGCAAAACGCGCGTCATATATGCTGAAACGAGCGGTAATACGTAAAAAGGGCCGCGCACTGGCGAAGAGCTCCCGCCCCTCCCGGCATGTTTCCGGTCGATTAATCCTCCGGAAGAGCATTAAAAATTTGCTCAATCGACATCTCGCGTTTTTTCCAGCGCGTCTCTCGACTTTTCAGAAAAGCGGAGATTATTTGAACGGATTAGTCTCGTCTTTTGGAATACGGAACGAGAGAAAGAAAGACAGGGGGAAAGAAACGGAAACAACGGAAACGCTAATATCGCGGCGTGTAGAAATTTTCCAGCCGACTCAGCGTCGCGAATCTTAAGGCTTCATTTGCAACGTCGGCGAAATGCGATTCGGTTGGCGACGTAAGGAAGAGAAGGAAAGGGAGAAAGAGGAAGAGAGAAACGGAACGACGCGTATATGTGTGTGCGTGAAGAAAGCATCAGGCCGTTCCGTCGCTCTTGGATATTGGATTCGCGACGCTGGCGGCGAAGCACCGCGACGCAGTGACTACCGTCGTCGGGACGACGCCGCCGGCTCGGCCAGATGAACGATGACGATTTCGTTTATGAACGGCGCTACATGTGTCGGCGATTTAATGAAGCACTTCGGCCGCGTTGCCGTCGCGGACGCGCGGTTGCGGAGTTACCCGGGCGCGCGCCATGGGCGCGATTAGCGTTACGGTTCTTCCTACAAATTGCACGCCGGGACTGCGACTGGAAGCGCGCAGGACGGTTGTCGCGATTAACCCTTTCACTGCGGGGACGCGTATAAACCTCTTAGAAGATAAACCGGCCAATTGCGCCTTTCTGCGAATTTCTTTCCGCAAATTCTCCCATGAGACGCGATTAAGCGTTTTACTTTTCGAAATTAACGAATTCAGGGAATTCAGTAACTTAGAATGAAGCTCGCCAGTTTGTCTTTCGGCCGTACACAGGGAGAGAATGGGATTTGAAAGATAAACGATATTGAGTTGATGAGTAGTAATAATATATTTATTTAAACCTTGGAATTCTTTTATTTAAATAGCACAAATAATTGCCGCGAAAAGCTGCGATTTTAAGGAAATATGTAATGTTGTAAGACTCGTACTTAAGGATCAAAATAACAAGAATGCGCGCAGTTGGATACGTGCCCAGGCATTGGTATTTTTATCTTACTCTAAATCGTGAAAAAAACATTCCGGGATGAGAAGATTAATATCTCGCGTCGCAACGACGTAATTAGCGAGGATTTCGATTGACTTTCACATGAAAACGTGAGGCGTGCGACAAAAACGTTTCAAAAAACTATCATACTATCCTTCTCTCTCTCTCTCTCTTCCCCTGTCTTTTATTATTGTCGCGATCGGCGGAACACATGCACCTTTCGCTCGCGCGAATTATTGAACACGCGGCGCATCAATATTTTCCGCGGCACTCGATGAGAACAAAGCGGCGCGATCTCCGACGGCCGCCGCCGCTTCATCTCGCGCGAAAGCCGAGAACGATCGCGTCGGGGAAAACACGCTCGCCGACACCTGTCACCGGCACCGCCGATGATCCTCTCCGTCGCTCACCTCTCATTTTCAGCCGATTTCTCGTATTTCGAGTACTTTCCGCGGCCGGTTATCACGCGCCAGGTTTTCACGCGCCCTCCGGACGCGATTGGAACTGACGTTCCTCCGTGGCGACAGAGAATAAAAGCGAAAAAATCACCCGGGCGCGACATCCGCGCGTTCAAACCGCCGGCCCAGGTGGGTTCCGCCCTCCCCCTCCTACATCCGCCGCCGCCCGCGTTTTGTCGGAAGCGGCCGGCCAGCCTGTCGCGCACTTATCATAATCCGCAAACCGATCGTTCCGTCAAAATCCGCCACTCGACGGCGATTTCGCGATGCGCGAAAATATTAATGGCTTTTCTCCCGCGTGCGGAAACCCCGACGCGCGGGAATTGTGTTATCGATAGGATACCCGCGTACACGCAGTACACCTGAGTCGAAAGTTTCATCCTGTATGTTAAATATTTTTATACTTGCGAATTCCATAACACAGTAGGAATTAAGATAATGAAATAATTTTAACTTTAACGATAGAGGAGAAACATCGAAACATGTTACTTTGTTTTCAGATTCTAAAGTCTTGGCGAAATCTTGTTGTAAAATTTATATTTATATGCATGGATGAAAATATATGATATTTTTATGGAAATTATTACATATCTCCTTGCAAATAACTGTTTTTTTTTTAAGACGTCTGAAGATTGAAGTTTTGAAAAACTAGGCCTCAAAATTGACACATCTAAGATATTTATAGGAAATTATCAGGAAGAAAAGAAAAAGTAAATACAAGAACTGAAATTATGTTATTTTATTTATTACATATTCTTACATTTTATCTTTAATCTTACATGTCCTAAAAAATTTTTTTTTAATTTTGCGTTCTATATTGCTCTTTTATGGCAAAAACTTAAATACAACGTAGAATCGAACAACATTACATTACACAACCGGGTACGCTTGTAAATAGAAACTGCCACTTCAGCCCTAACTACTACTGTAGTAGACGAAGTTTATATACCGTCCGACAGGATTTAGTACTTTACGGCCGAGAAACATAGGTATGACGGTTTACCACACCTATGTCAATTTTGCTAATTTGCCCTCTACAATTTACTCCTATTTGCACAAATATGACATCTTAAATTTCCGTTAGCACTATTTTCAGCGTAAAAAAAGTTTGTTCTCAATATTCATATGAACTTAATAACCGAAATATCGGAAGCACTTAAAGCTTCAAGGTAGCATTAACATCCAAAGTGTAGAATTAACGGTTCAAGAGTTGTGTCTCGACTCGGGTGTGCGCGCGCGTTTGCAACCGACATCGGAGATTCGAATTTCTTAACTCGAATGGATCGACCGAAACACTCGCGCGTTTTAATGCAAATGCGAATGAACCAAGCACGAACTCGAGAACGTTGGTTACATTAGACGGCTTTTGTTGCGAATCATTTGAAGACGAGTGCGCTGAACATGCCGGTGAAGGCGACGGGGTGGGAGGGAGGGAAGGGGAGCCAAACGGAGGTCCGGCGAACGGGAAATCTGGGCCACGTCGAAATCTGGTTTATTGATTTCCTGCCAAAAGGGTGATGATCGCATAATTGCGTAATATCTATTACGGACGATGCGTTATTTATTCGAAGTCTCGCAATGTGCCGCCTGGTGACGCACTAAAACACGCCGTCGATATATATCGATATATATATATGTATATATTTTAAAACGTGAGGCGTGTGATACGATGCTGATACGTTACAAATTATTCGGCGCCGTGATATCAAATTTGTGCTCATTAAATTATGTTAATTACTCGAATAACGGGCGCGCATCCGCGCGCGTTTTTCGCCGGTGCCGGCTTCTGTTCGAGAACGCGCGAATTGAATTTCCAAAACGATCCGTTAAAAAAGTCCGAAATTCGCGTTTGCGAGCACACCACCGCCGTTAAATCTTTAGCGAACGCTATATGGCTTACCGCTAAACGCTATATGGTACACCGGTGGAACATCATAGTTAATTTTGGCAAAACGTGTTTGATCGTCCGGTAGATTCAACCAAATTCATTTTTCAGTGCGGCGTCATGTATTTACTTTACTATTTTTTTCAATTGAAAATTACACGACTTTTCAGTCTTACATATACACCCAAACAAATATATATATATATATACCTAAGAGACGTCTCAAAGATATCCTTTAGATGTCTTATTGCCTAAAAAATGTCTTTATGACATCTTAGGACGTCTTAGGACGTCTTAATGTTATCTGGGACCTAAAGTCGAAAAACCGTTACAATCACAATCATTATAACCCTATCTTTATAATTAGAGTTATTTATTTACGACTTTCTTTCAGTCTACACTGACTCTCAATCGCGAGTTTGCTGCGCTCCCAACTTCATCGCGTCCAAATCATATCGCAATCGAGTTTAAGACCGAAGAAACGCGTTTCGGCGCGTCGACATACATCGCCGACGTTATTATCCTCCTGTAAGAAATGATCACTCGCTACCAACACTCTCGTGCGGCCTTCACTGGCCGAAATTAATTTTCAGTGATCAAGCGATTTTTTAGAACCGCACTGTAACAGCCCTCTCCTAAAATATCGGGACTTAGTCGATAGCTTGTCGTTGCTAAGCAATGGTTTGTCCGCCTCTCCGACATTACAAACCCAAATCCATTAATTATTCATTAGTCATTACGTCGCACTATGATGCAATGTAAATTGCAACATAGAGGTGAGGTAACAAACGTCGATCGCGCCGTTGCCCATTACGCGCGTCAACGGAAAAGCCGTGTGCGTACGGCGATAGAATTCCTGCGTTCGTGTCAGCCGTAACTAAAGGGTTAAACGACACACATTCAGCCGGGTGGCGTCTTTAACGATGAAATATTCACGTTAACGTGTGAAGTAACGAGATCGCGACGCGCCGTCGTCGTCGTCGGTGAGTCGGAGTGATAAGGGTAATAATATTTCGCAACATATCGATCGCCATCATCAACTCTCGCGCGCTCCTTTAAGCGCCGACGCGTATTTTCGTGCGACGCTGGTACGCCGACGGCACGTCGAGCACGTCGTAAGAGCTTCGAATTATTGCATAATGTCGAGTACGAAAAGCCGTGTGAAAAGGTGTCTCGTTTCGCTCTAACGTTAATGCTCGTCGCGCGATTACTTCGGCGATAATGAATGCTTAGGTAATAATTCCGATTAAAATAGCTCGCGATTCGTGAGAATTCGGAGCGCGGGAAATAATCGACGTTTTCCGCTTCACAGGCGCTTGAGACAGTTGAATCTGGCGGTAACGTTAATTAATCCGATGAAGCCGTAATTATCTCACGAGCATTTTCAATTAAAGAATTATATTTATCGCCTGATTATCGCCTATTTTATCTCCCGAAGCCCTCGGATTAATATTTAGGTATCTTTTGTCGATAGCACAATTTATATAAATCGGGAATTAAGAGGGTTCTGGGAAAAAATGTAAAAATTAAATTATACATTTTTTAATTCGATGTTACTTTTTATCCGATAAAAAAAGCGTCGCTTTAACTGGCCGACAATGAGTTAATTAAATAAAATCGGGAGGGAAATGGTTGACGGCCGACGGCGGAGAGATCCTGTGTAACGAGTGAACTGTGTACAGGGTGTCTCGGAATTCGCTCGAATTCTTCGATTTTTATTGAGAGAGTTCCGCGAGCAGTTCCGAGTTAATTTTTCCTCAGCGAGAATGTCGAGGCTTTGATAGTTTCCGATATCTAAAAAGCGATCGAAAAAGCGTTTCGCGAAATAAACTTTGAGCAAACGGATAACGAAGTTATTTTCTTCGATCCATTTTAAGAGTGGACGTTACTTTAACAAAATTTTACTTTCGGATTTTGCCACGAAGATATGTCGACGATTTCTCTTCTTTTCTCTTATTGTACATCCACGAAGTATTGTGCGGATTTATTTTTGTTTCTCTTATTCTGCAATTTTAATTTATGTACTACGCGTTGTGCTAAAATGATGATTCCCTTAACACTAAAATCGCCATGTCATCCATATATGAGCGACGATTTTAATCATTGAAATAGGAATAATTTTATGACAATTATTTATAAGGATATTGAATGAAAACAGTAAAATATCATTTGTAAAATATATACTAACGTAAAAGAAAAGATACAATGTAAAGAAACAAAATTAACATTATATATTTATTGTAAAATGTATGATTGTTATTATATTAATATATTAAGAATATTTAGATTAGATAATATATAACATATAGAATATATAGAAGGGTAGAAGCAGGTATTATCATCCTTTCATTAAACATATGGTTTATTTTGTATTCTGATATTACCATAACTGTACACTGAGAAAAAATATAATTGAGTCGATAAAATCGGCCGGTCATCCTCATTCAAAGAAATATTCTGCCCAATGAGCAAATTACATGTTGGCGCAATAAATTGCGTTGATACTACAGTTGCTAACCAAATCACATTATTTATTGAATTAATTGATAATTCATTAGAGCAACTTATAATTTGTTCAGTGGACCGAATAGAAAAATTCGAAAAAATTTTATCTGTTCAAGAAAAATTTCGTTTTCTTCTACCGTATTTTTTTCTCTCAGTGTACTTAAGGTGCTCTTAAAGTCAAACCAAAACCCCTATCCTTTTTCCCTCTTCGAATCAAGCAACTTTTATCTCAAAAAGAAAATTGCTTACGATGCGTACTTTCGAAGATAACAACTTGTAACATTTTAAATGGCCCAGCCTGACCTTCGTTTGAAATTAATTATTAATTATTAATTGATCATTTAGATAGTGAAATCAATGTGCAGGAACGTAACGTTGTTTGACAAATACTAAGCTTATGAGTAATCCCCTTAAAGCCCCATTGAAAATACCACATTGACCGCTCCACAACCTCTTTAAGATCGCTAAGAGGCTCGAGGCCTCCCGTGTTCACAGCCTCCGTCGGTCCGTCGGTCGCGTCGCTAAAATCGCGTGTGCCGTCTCGACGAAATTAGAAGAAGAAGAAGCCGAAGGAGGAGGGGTTTGCTCTCGTTTGCTCTCGCGGAGGAGGCGCGCACTTACCTGAGGGTCTTGGCCGTGTGCATGCCCGACGTCTCGGCGATGTGGCTCTGCAGGTATTGATTCAAATCCCCGTACTCGCCGTTTTCCAATACGATGCACATGGGGTCGTCCTCGAGGCTGGCACCGAGTAGCCGCGCGACGTTTCGATCGGCGAGTCGTACCAGCCTCTTCGCCTCCTGTTGAAATTCTATCCTGGAAAACACACACGGAGCGTCCGGAAGTAATATCTTTATGGAGCCGTGCGCGGTACCAAGGCCACGGCTATTGAATACGGATGCGGATATATGTATGCCGGAAGTAATGCGAATACTCTCTCTCTCTCTCTCTCTTTCTCTCTTTCCCCACTCCCGTTCCCGCTTCGTGTCGCTCCGCTTGTCTCACGGAAGTTCGCCGTCTCTCGGTGGAAAAAAAAAGGAGCGACTCTCGCCTTCCTCCTCTCTCCCTCTTTCTCCGGATGGCGAGAACGCGAGAGGCTAAGGTGAGGTAAGGAGAAACCGGCAGTCACGAATAACGGCTAAGTGCCGCGACTATTGCGCCGAGAGGTGTCTGAGTGAATTCCGGCGAAGATGCAGAGAGAAAGAGAGAGGCGAGAACGTAGGACGCGGTACGCGCGATGGTTTATGGATTCGATGAGGGTTCGACGGGAAGGGTGGGCCGCGAGAATCACTATAAAAATTCTAATCCACGGCTTGATGCGTCCGCTGAATTTTTGACGAGAGCCGCGCGCGGAAGACGGTCACCTCCTCGCGCGCCATGAATCATTACCGGGCAAATGTACGAGCGGTGTACCGCTAATGGATCGATTTATTATTTCGCGGCCGAATAATCGATCTCGCCGCAGAAAAGCCGCGACTGCTCCGTAAATATTATCGTAAATATGTGTCGAGCAACGACGCGATACATAATACGCCCCCTCCTCTCCCCCCCGTCCACTGTCGCTGAGATTATTATTTTAACGGCGCCGACGTTTTCGCGATTCCATCCGGCGCGAACGGCGTTTTCACTTCGCGCTCGTACGCGAGGATGTGAGAGTGTGTGTCTGTGAGAGAAAGAGAGAAGCGCATAAGTGGAAAAAATATGTCAAAATGAAGTGGTATGTCAAGTTATCTTAAGATGGTTTATCTAAAACGACGAAATTTTTTTAGTAATATAAAAAAATTATGTAAAATAATTTTCGTCACGAACTATATGCTTGGTAATAGTTATCAAATATATCTCATTTTCTGCTATCAGAATTTGCTACTGATTGCCAAAGTTTAATTTAACGACCTAAATGTATAGTTTAAATAATTAAATCTCGGTTTTTAGAACATAGAACTATATATTTATTTCATTTAACCAAATTATATATTATTTAACAGCATCAAATTCTATTGTATGTTATCAAATCCTTCTTTCAGTGTATAATACATTCTAAGACGTGCCTTCTAAAATCTTTTACGCAGCTAGAGTGTAACGGAAATAAGAACTTTGCATTTGATTTGTATCGATCTTGATATAACCGCTTTAACTTCATTAAGAGAAAATGAATTTATTAGCCAAAAGGAACCAATTCGATTTCCAAATGGCACAAATATAATCCGTCAATAATATGGCGGAATAACTCTATTTTTCGCTGTGGAATTTCGCGGCGAATATTTATTCGCAGTAATGTGTTCATCGTATCTTTGTCGTCGATAATGAAAGAAAAGTGCTCTTGTCATATACAATCACGAGAGGAAATTAAATAAAAAATATAAGCAGGTGTATATTATATAAGAGAACTACAAATAACACGATATACACCTGGCGCTGATTTCGTTGTAGTCTTTTACTTTTCATTTCATTTCTGTCTATCAATAATGTTTAAGTTAAATAAGAACGAAGTATCTAAATATACATATGTGTCAGCATTCCCCTAGAAAGCTTAAATCCGTGTCAGGATCCGAGTTTAAATTTTAAAAAGCCGATCTCTTTGGTTTACAAATATAATTTACACTTCCATCAGATCGAAGAGAAATCAAATAGTGATTTCGTCAAATTTATTTCTATATTTTTATATTCATTAATTCATTCAATCAACGGGAATAAAGCTCATATATTAGATAGACATAGACATAGATAGACATAGATTTGAAGTAATGCCATACTTGAAAAGTTTATTGACAGAATACAGAATTTTTTTCTGCGAAGTTTATATCTTATTGATTGCACAGAATTATAAATGCTTTTACACAATGAAAATACGCGCGAAAATAAGTTGGAGCACTGCTCATTGTATGACGAAAATGATCACAAATTTCTAAGTGACATCTTCTAGCTGTCAGTTAACGTAAATATTTGCATGATGCAAACATCCTACAGCTTGTACGTATCAGATGTGCCAATGTTCCAGTCGGGAAAAATTTCAAAGAATATTTTTATATTGTTTCCAATGGTATTTAGAGATCTAAAAAGGTACGAAAAATTTTTCTACTTCTCGGTTCAATTTCCCATTATATATAGTAAAACAGAGTAGCGCTCGCATTTACATAAGATATATATGTACAAGAAATACTAAAAGAGCAGCGTGATCGTGTCAATGTTTACGTGACATAACGTTTTCAGGATCGCCTCCACGTTATCGATGCTTAAGAAGTTCGTCAACGGTTATAGCATTTCCTTAAAGACGGGGGAAATTATGCAAAATTAAAGGGATGCTATAGTCGTTGACGAACTTGATAAGAATCGATAACGTAGAGGTGATCCTCGAAATGTTATGTTACATAAACATTGACGCGATCACGTTACTCTGTTTTACCACATCTAACGGAGAATCTAACCGAGATATATAAAATGTTTTTCTACAAACTTTTCGTATCTTTTCAGCCTTTTATGAAATAAAATCGTGAGGGTACAGAAATGTTCTTCGAAGTCTTCTTCATCAGAGCAAACAGTTGACATGTACAAGTTGCAAAATTTCGGTTTTAGGTAAACGTTTACTCTGATTTCAAGTTTAGCACCCCCTTAATCCCAATATATAGACCGAATTGCATAAAAAGAGAGAGAGAAAGAGAGAGAGAAAGGGAGGCAAAAAGAAAGGCAAACGTTTCGGCCAGTTATTCGCACGCGTCGAAGACTCCATCGACGACCGGATGTGCATTTGACGGGACACGTGTGTATTCGCGGGCATTAATTTTGGAGACAGAAAAAGAGAGAGAGAAAGAGAGAGAGAGAGAGAGAGAGAGAGAGAGAGAGAGAGAGAGAGAGACACCGCAAACCGGCGGAACGCATTTCTGCCCGCGTAACGCGATCGCGATCGCGGGAACGAGCGAGAGACGTGTTCGAATGATCGAAGTGTCAAAGCGGAAAGGGATATCGATTCCTCGCGGCGTCGCGACAAGAAATTCCATCGTCGGACGAGATATGGCACGATCGAGGGGCAAAAATCTATCGGCGCGAGGAGGTCGCGGGAAACACGACGTACTTTTTCGGATACCTCCTCCCCTCTCGCCGTTGCTGCTGTTGCTCGCAGCCGGCGGGAAGACGGACGCGGATAAAAAAGGATAAAGACCGCCGCTCGACGATTGCACGCTCCGACACGAGTCGCCTCGGTTTCGCACGACGACGATGACGACGGGACGAGAAGGAGGGCGGGAACGAGGGTAGGTAAGGACGACGACACGAGTCGCGCGCTTTTCCCAGCCGGCGAAATGTTTTGCCGACGACGCCATCCGTGATCCTGTCTACGGGGATCATCCTTTCGCCGTCGCGACGACGACGAGCAACGACGACGCGACGACACGCGCCGACGGGCCGTTGAATCCGCCACGACACGCTCCGCCGAACGTTTCCATCTCTATCGGCCTATTCCGCGCGAAAATCGCAATCGTCCCGGCGAACAAAGCGTCGCTACAACGTCGCGCCGGTGTTGGAATGCAATAAAAGGAAGTCTTTCATCGGCTTCGTGTATACAGCCTCCCCCCCCTCCCCCTCCCCATCTCTCTCTCTCTCTCTCTCTCTCTTTCGACGAGCCGAGTCGAGCGCAACTGCACCTGTTCGGATCGGTTTTTGATACTACTCCGGCCGAAATGGGTCGAGCGTGTAAAAACGTTCTCGATCTCTGTCCCTCTCTCTCTCTCTCTCTCTCGAACGCTTCGACCGAGCGAGACGGCAAACGAAACGACTCGGCGGACCGATAACGCGCGCTGCGCTGCGCACAGCGGAATTACGGTGCGGGCGCGTGTGTTAATTACGTATTACGCGTAACGCGCAATTATACGTGTAACGCGAGGGACATTACGCGCTTGCGCCGCAATCTGGACTTTTTAATTATTCCCACGGTGTTGCACGACGGCGGATAATTATTTTCTACCGCGCGTAACGCGCATTCGACGGAATTAAACGTATCGAGCGGTGTAATTACGCCTCTTCCCGAGCGTTTTCGTCGGCGGAAAGCTCGCGCTGCGCGGATGCGTTTCACGCGAGCACCTTCTCTCTCTCTCTCTCTCTCTCTCTCTCTCTCTGTCGTTCATAAGTAGGTCGCGAGTGGATTTAGGGACGGGATTCCGCGAATTAAAATTTCGACGCGTGAGCGATATTCACGTAAACCGAATTATTGATAAATATTTTGCACGGCCGAACGGATAGATTGCGCGCCGCGGGAAAGACGCTTTGAAAGCGGCCGGGAGTTTTGTGTTTTCAATTTTCCAGTCTAAAGGCGGAGAGTGCAAAGGAAAGAGAGATACAGAGAGAAACAGAGAGAGAGAGAGAGAGAGAGAGAGAAAGGGCGGAGGGAGGACTCGCTGGCTTTATGAAAAATTATATTGACGCGGACGAGCCATTCGATTACATGCCAATCATCGATCGCTTGAAGCCCTTCCGCATTATCCGGTCGCGTCTACTTAATGCGCGCACCGTGTCATTACATTCGAAGTCACTTTGTGCCGCTTTATCGAATTACGCCGGCCCGTAATTTTTTATCGGGATAATTTCCTATTTCGCGGGCACCTCTCTTTACGCCCTCGCCGCCTCGGCCGTCCCGTTTGCCGCGGAAGATAACCGCGGCCGGCGTCGTCATCTCGGAAGATCGAAGTTCGACGCGCGTGAAAACGCACGGGGGAAATCTCGGTAAAATTGGTCACATTTTCAGCAATCGAACTCCTCTTTTGAATGTAATAAATAGGAGTAGCAACGTGCACGTCATTATCGCTGACGTCGTGAAGACAGGAGGATATCCCGAGCTACTTGTGGTCGGTTATAATCGTTCTTTGATTATAGTCGTTTATAGTAAATTACGGTCGTTCCGCGGTGGCGAACGAGAAAGTTCGAGGAAGAAGGGGCCCGTGAATGATATCGCGCGAACGCGCACTTTTATCGGAAGCTAAGGAGATTTACGCACGACGCTTACCTAAGAGCATCGGAGGATCCCGGTCGTAAGGATTTAACAACCACCAGGTCGCTGGAGGTATTCTTGAAGACCTCGTCGTATCCGGGAAACCTGTCGACCTCGCAGAGGTGAACATCGCCGAAATATCCGCAGCCGAGATTTTCAGCGATGTTGAGCTTCTCCCGCGGGAAGTCGAGGATACACTCGGGTATCTCCTCCTCCTCCTCCGTCAGCATATCCTCCGGACTGTAGCTAGTCATACTGCTGGAGGCTTTCGCGCTCATCGGGGGCGGTGTGCTCGGCGTCGGTGACGGCGGCAGCGGCGGTAAAGGACTCTGCGACACACGCGAATACACGCGGAATGATTCTTCCTTTTCTCCTTCGGGCAGCGCGAGGCGACCGTACACGCGAATAAAAGGGACGGGGCGAACACTCTCGCTCTCGATCTGATCGAACCTTTCCCGGGAAACGTACGAAAGGGGTGAACAAGTTATCGGGATGATCTGAAATGTTTTTCCCCGCTCGAGCGGGGAAAAACATTTCTTTTCGTTGAAAAATAATATATTATTTCAAGCTGTTCACGAGCGATTATAAAGCCGCTTACGGCTGTTGCGCGGAATAAATAAATATCTTCCGCTTTGCACAAGTAGCGCCCGTAAAATGCTTGGAATTGTTCTTCTTTCACTGTAATCACGGAAAATCTTTCTGTATATCCAGGCTCGTTACTCTTGATGCAGCATTTCGGGGACACTTTGTGCGATAACAAAGATATTAATACCCGGAAATTGCGAGTAAAGATATTATTGAGAGATCGATTTTTTTACGTGGCTTTATTTTCAGGAAAACACGAACGAATGCGTGATGTTAAAAATTTAAAGAAGAAACGCGTTGTGGAATAACAGAGTGCAAAACGCGATCCTTTTCGGCTTCGCGTCGCTTCGACCCTCCCGCGCGATCCCACGCGCCTCCTAATAATCTAATAAAACGAAAATCCACGCACGGCCACCCGCAATCAATAACCACGCCCTTTGCATTATCCCTCTGTAATCTGCGTACGGCCGCGAAAGACGTTTTCTTCGCGTAGTGATGATTGATAGCGTGCCCGTTGTTTCCTCGTTTTTCGGTCATTAATCCTCATAATTCACAGGATGAAGTATTTTGCGCCGTGCATATTGTGTGTAGGATAAACAGGACCCTGTTGAAAACGAGATTAGGTCGGTGACGATACACATATATACACGCACACACATATATACGTGTATACACGCACACGTAGAACGGGGCACGCGGTCATTAAAATATACTTTACGCGGCGACTGATCGCTATCGCAACGCGCACGGCGAAAATGCGTACAAAGTGAGACAACGAACATTACCACTCCTTGAATATCCTCGAGAAATAATTGTAGGAGACCGGCTTATCTAACAGAAATCGCATCAATACTATTGTGCTCCTCATTTCAAGCACCTTCTGTGATTGTGAAATTTCTTTATCTACGTTTAACATAAATCGTTAATATAATGTTTCTTCGAAGAAAGAGAATCAGGGTAACGAGAGCCGATCGCGGTTATTAGCGCCCCAAACTGCGCCCCAAAATCGACATACAGGAAGTTGTCCAAGAAATAAAATAAAAACACTAAAATAACATTATCTTATACATTCATTATATATCTTTACATATTATTTTTAATCCGACGAACGCACTTGCAAATAGAAAGTACCCACTTCAGCTTCAACCACCGTACGCAAAGTAGACAAAGTCGATGTTTCGTCCGGCTTTAATACTTTACAGCCGAAAAGCACGGGTATGTCGGTTTACCATATCCCCATCAGTAGTCATAATGCTTTCCCTTCACATGCCCCGACGCAAAACTCCGTTCCCACGATATGACATTTAGGATTTCACTGCTCCCTTCCCTCCCCACCTCTCGATCTTTCTCTCGAGGTATCGAGTGCGCCCGATCGATGCCGGCGATCCTCCCAAAACAACAATCGCGCTTATTAAACGCTCACGCTGTGTAGCAGCGAGAGCGTCGCCGCGTACACAGTGGCGATTCAGGCCGCGGCGGGCGAGACCGTAAAGAAGGAAAATTGAAAAGTCAAGCGGTATAATATTCGAATTAACCTCGGCGAATTTACATAAAGCCCCGGTTTCGCAAGGTTGCCGCCGCCGCCTCCCCCAAGCGGCGATCGTGACGGAGATTCGACGGTCACGAGGCGGCGTTTGACACAGTTCCGCGCGAGCGGAGTACCCGTGGCACGGCATTAATGCTCCCTTTTCTGCCCCCCCCC